CAAAATTTACTAGTATTACTATCCTTGTGGGGACATTTGGTCCCCATAACGTGATAAATACCAGGTACACACACTCACTCACACACACACACACACACACACACATAGAATTTTTTTATGGTATAAGTTTTCGTTAACTATAATAACCCTTGTATTTGTACCTACTTAACAATATTTTGGGGACAAATTTGTACCCAGAAGTGAGCAAAACCTGACAAAACCTCCTCCTTTTTTGGGAAGTACTGATTGGTAAACTAAATAGTAAATAAAGTGTTTATAAATACATTTTCTGTAAGGGTTAGTGTTTTAATTATAGTATTTAATAACTAGCAGTATATAAAAACAATAGAAGTCTATGCAATAACCCTCATTAGATCAGTAAGTGTGAGTTGTAGGTTGTATTGTGACTCTCTTCTGCCTCCTGCTGTTCACAGCACTGATGCACATGAAGATCGGATGAGACTGAGTGTTTCTCCTGTGTTTTAGGTCACTGAATTACGGAGGAATCGGAGCGATCATCGGTCACGAGCTCACACACGGATACGACGACTGGGGTGAGACAGAGAAACCAGAGACTGAGATGTGGTTGAGTTTTTAACCCACAGCACTCCTGTAATAATGATCGTGATCTCTGAAGAACACAAATGCAGCAGTGAAATACAGGACCTAAAGGATCGACAGGATCATCATTATGAAGATCATGACTGGATCACTGATGTCATTTTGGAATATGATGTCATTTTTTGATTTTGAGTCATGTGACTTTTTCCTGTTTGCTGATAGGTGGGCAGTACGATCGCTACGGCAACCTGAAGCAGTGGTGGACGGAAGAGTCGTACAGGAAGTTTCAGAAGAAGGCGGAGTGTATCGTCAAACTCTACGATAACTTCACTGTGTACAACCAGAGGGTACAGAACACACTCACACACACACACACACACACACACTCTCTCACTCACACTCTCACACACACAGACACACTCACACACACAGATATATGCACACACACACATACACACACACACATACACACACACACACACACACAGAACACA